TTTTTGCCAATGCATTGAAACGATGAAAGCGTTAATGACTGAAAGAGGGTATCGTGTGAGAATAGGTAAATTACGCGTGGAAATATGATTGGTTACCCATATATATTGATCTTTCTCTTCAACGATTGTGGCCTAGCATTGCACGGACGGCACATATTAATATATATACAAACTCGTCATCTACTCTTTGTCTCTCTATAACTAGTTTCTCTCGCCCTCAGTCAGCTTTGTTGCATAAATATAGCTAAGACAATTCAGAAGCTAAACACATAAAGAAGAAGGCATGTGCTGCTGTGGTGGTGACGATGATTGTAAATGCAGGCCTTTGGGTTTCCTCTTGGGCCTGCCCTTTGCCTTCCTCGCTCTCCTCCTCTCTCTCGTCGGAGTCATTGTTTGGATCGTCGGGTGAGTTTCGGCTTTCCGTCTACTATCTCTATTATCTTTTGCGATTTGTATTCATATGTGTTTTTTTTGGATGCAGGTTGGTGTTGACTTGTATATGTCCGTGCTGCTTGTGCGTGACTGTAAAGTGGAGTTTGCGCTGTGGCTGATCAAGGCTCCCATTCTGGTGATGAAATGGTTCACCGATCAGATTCCTTGTTAGTTCCGGATTCAAAGGTCATCACTTGATAATTAAATTCATTGTTGTTTTTTCTACAACCACTTCTTGTGTAGTTGTTCATCAGCCTAGTTGACTTTAGAACTGGGTTTCTTTGTTTACTAGCCCATCTAAATTTCATATCATATTTAATTTTTTATTTATTGATACTATATAGAGTTGATATTTTTATTAGTTGAAACACTTATTTTATTTTACTTTTATTTTAATGTTCTATCTTTTTCGGGGGATTCGTGATTTAAGTAAAGAATCTGCGTATATCAATTTAATTCATAGTTATTTCTTGTGGTATCCAGAAGAAAGGGAAGAAATTTATTAACTATATACAGTATTGAATTGTGAATATCAAATTTATAGTAATATATTTATAATAATTTTTGGATGATTTTTCGATCTCCTGGTTTATTTAATGGAGATAATTTCATCATTCATTGGGAAAACAGAATGGAACAGTAAACTCACGGACAAGTACAACATTGGGCCGATTTAATTACTACTCAAAAATAATGACCCAAGACTCTCGAAAATTTGTATAGCTCGAATGGGCCTAAACATTATTCCCAAGTGTGACTGCTAGTAACCCAAAACAGGGTTCATTGAGCAAAACCACTTTCTCATCTTCATTATTCCACTTTTAAGTTTAAGAAGAATATTTTTTTTTTTTTTTTTAGAGTTTAACGATTTTTTCCCACCAAAGTATAGCCTAATGACACTTCTCTACCCAAAAAGTTTCAAAATACAATTTTACTATCCGAAGTTTATATTCCGTTATATTTTCGTTATTATCCAAATACATTTTCTTTAGAGTTTGCAATTTTTTTGTTGCCAACTCTGTTAAGGCTATCGAGGCTTTTGAAAATAGGAACTGATGAGTCTTTTGATGATGGAGTTTGATTTTGGTGAACAAGATTGTCGAATCTGACTTAAAAAGGATGTTGTTGCATTCCAAAAGTCGCTCAATTAGCAGAGTCGACGAGCACAAAGTTTAGGGGTTAAAGAAAAAAAAAAGGGGGTAAAGATCACTTCCCTTATTCTATTTGTCCATTTATCATACTTCTCCCCCAAAATAAATCTTATGTTTTAGATTGAAAAAAATTAAATTAAACATATAAAACCATCTTTAGAAAATAATTAACTCATTATTGAATTAGTCTTCTTGTCAAAAAGGGCAGCTGTAGCCCTTAAGATTGTTATTGAAAACATGAGTTTGGAAGTTGGATGTACGGGAATGACGATTAAAAGTGAAAAGATTACCACCACTACTAAAAAAGCAAATAGGGATCCATACGCCTTTGAGTTCGAATCATTTGATAGTATAAGATTGAAAAGAATTTAACATGCTCTCCCAAGTTCGAGTCCTCTTGATATAAAAGCAAAAAAATCTAACATGGTCTTTCGAGTTCGAGTCTGTATGGCCAGTAATAAGGGTGATCACTGAAGTTTTTATCCAGCTGATAGTTTTAGGGTCTTGATAAATTATTGAGATGCATATAAACTGGCCTAGACACCCCTAATCATAAAAATAAATAAATAAATAAAATTTAAAAGATATAATTTAATTAAAAAAAAAAATTGAAAAACAACGCAAACTTACAATTCTAATTGTTGGTAACATAATATATTCTTTGTAAACTTCTTTCTCCATCAAAGAAACATATTTTTTAAGTTCTTTAAAGCATGAATGGAAAAAAAAAAAAAAAAAAAAAAAAAAGGTTTATAGATACAAAGAAATTAGAAAATAAATTTGTAATTATATAAAATATTAAAAAAATAAAGCATCTTTTGACTTGATAGGATAGATGGTCACATTTGATTGATAGAATTGGGGGTTTATGTTTATTTGAAAAGTATCTATTGTACATTAAACCACCTTGAATAAAAAAGTTAATTAAATAAATTAGAGTTTATAATCTAAAGTATTACATTGTTAATCACAAATTTATCCAAAGCGTAAATGCAAGATTATAACTTGTAGCTCAAAAGTCAGAATCTCTCATCCACGCATAAGAAAGGGCGAATCCTAGAAAGTGGTAAAAGACCGGTACCTAGAGTCAGCCCTTGCCCTATGTTGATAAGTCAAGGGTGTTTTATGATGATCTTCATCCTCTTAACCTTTAAAACACCCAAATTCCTGAAAACGTGTAAGCTGTTATATGAAAATAAAATATTCTAAATTGCATGAGAATCATTATACATGTATCTAGGTCCATAAAAAAAACTTGTTATTAATATATTCTATACAAATTCACATCATATTAAAAATTTAAAACTTTCATCATTCTTTTTTTTCACGTTTTCACCTGTTTTTTATAATTTTATTCTTAAAATTATTTATTCTCTCATTTTTTTTCTCATGCAATTCACTCTTAAAGCTTTAGAAGATTGAAATTGTTGAAACTTTCACTACTTAAGGTGTCACAATTAGCTTCGTATTCTGTTATATCAGTTTTAGGTATGTATATTACTCATTTCAATTTAGTTTATTTTAGAGTTGAATTATACTTCTTTTTTTTTTTTGAGGGGGGAGAGGGGGGATTTTTTATTTTAATTTGAGAGAAAAAGACATGGATCTTATGAGTTTATTTTGTGTTTTGTGTCTAAGAATAAATATGTTTTCCTAAATTATAACCTTAGCTATATATTAAAAAACATTACTCTTCACCTGACTCACCATTTTTCTACATTTCAAATATCATTGTTCAGTTACTCAAAATTATTAAAGAAATTTGAGTTATTATCTATACTTATATCAAGAAAATTTCATATTTTTTTATTAATTTATATTAAAAGTCAACGTAACGTTGATTTGATTTAAGTTTTGTTTAATTTTAACTTAAACTATGTCTTATCAAAAGTCATAAAAAATTATATTATAATCTTTAAAAATAAAAAAATAAAAAAATAAAAAAATTTACTTAAAATTTATTTAACACATTTACTCCAAATTTTATTTTTTTTAGTTTTATTTAAATAGAAAAATATCGTATTATTAGGTATTACTATCTTTTCTCATCGATTCTTGATATTGTTTTTGTGTTTGGCTTAGGTTTAGTATTTTTCAAAGTTTTGGAAGCCGACAAAAATTCTGACCCGCAACTGTTGGGAAGTGAGCACCACTTGTATTTTCCAGCGGTGGTCCTTTACTTTCAATTTTTATTATATAATATTAATACCCCCATACGTACACTGATCATCTTTAGTCTTTCAATTAAATGTTAACGAACTAGCTAAAAAAAGCAAATAGGGATCTCATACAGCCTTTGAGTTCGATCATTGATATAAAGATTAAGAAAAGAATTTAACATGCTCTCCCAAGTTCGAGTCCTCTTGATGATAAAACAAAAGAAGATCTAACATGGTCTTTCGAGTTTCGGTCTGTATGGCCAGTAATAGGGTGATCACTGAAGTTTTATCCCTGATAGTTTTAGGTCTTGATAAATTATTTAGATGCATATAACTGGCCTAGACACCCCTATCTAAAAATAAATAATAAATAAAATTTAAAAAGATAATTTAAATTAAAGAAAAAAAATTGAAAAACAAACCAAACTTACAATTCTAATTGTTGGTAACATATATATTCCTTGTAAAACTTCTTTCTCCATCAAGAAACTATATTTTTTAAGTTCTTTAAAGCATGAATGGACCACTTGAATTTGACCCCACAAACTCAAAAGTTTGATGGTAATATATGTACATGTTCTATTTGTGAGATTCAAAAATACTCCTTTTTTTATTTTTGGTTGCATTTTTTCTTTCTATTCACATTGCCCATGTATTTTTATCAGTATTTCGCAACATTTAGCGTAACCATTTTTGCTTTGCTATGATGCATAGTCAATGCAAAATTTCGTGGGCCTTAATTAATTACGACCTAAAGCTTTTTTAGCTAGTCATGAGCCATGTATTCTTTTAACTTATAAGATTCTACTCGTTGATTGTTGAAGCAACTGATTGAGATAAGGAATCTGCGGGGAGATTCTACAGCGAGCTGAACGGGCATGTAGGTTCTGAACCGGAAGAATACAACTGAAATCAGGAAAATCTGTACAGAGATGGAATAGTACATGTTCCTGTTGAGCAAGGAAAATAATAAGATAGTAAAATGTCACTCAAACTGAAACAGCTATTCTCGGTGAGGTGATCGTATAATTATACATTTATACTTATCTTATACGGACGACTAATTAATTTATTATTACAAGTTTCCTAGTGGGGGAACCTTCTTGGAATATGATATTATTGCCAATGCATTGAAAACGAATGAAAGCGTTAATGACTGAAAGAGGGTATCGTGTGAGAATAGGTAAATTACGCGTGGAAATATGATTGGTTACCCATATATATTGATCTTTCTCTTCAACGATTGTGGCCTATTGTATAGACGGCACATATTATTATATATACGAACTCGTCATCTACTTCTTTGTCTCTCTATAACTAGTTTCTCTCGCCCTCAGTCAGCTTTGTTGCATAAATATAGCTAAGACAATTACAAGAAACTAAACCCATAAAGAAGAAGGCATGTGCTGCTGTGGTGGTGACGATGATTGTAAATGCAGGCCTTTGGGTTTCCTCTTGGGCCTGCCCTTTGCCTTCCTCGCTCTCCTCCTCTCTCTCGTCGGAGTCATTGTTTGGATCGTCGGGTGAGTTTCGGCTTTCTCGTCTACTATCTCTATTATCTTTTGCGATTTGTATTCATATGGATTGTTTTTGGGATGCAGGTTGGTGTTGACTTGTATATGTCCGTGCTGCTTGTGCGTGACTGTAATAGTGGAGTTTGCGCTGTGGCTGATCAAGGCTCCCTTTCTGGTGATGAAGTGGTTCACCGATCAGATTCCTTGTTAGTTCCGGATTCAAAGGTCATCACTTGATAATTAAATTCATTGTTGTTTTTTCTACAACCACTTCTTGTGTAGTTGACTTTAGAACTTGGGTTTCTTTTGTTTACTAGCCCATCTAAATTTCATATCATATTATAATTTTTTATTTATTGATACTATATAGAGTTGATATTTTTATTAGTTGAAACACTTATTTTATTTTACTTTTATTTTAATGTCCTACCTTTTTCGGGAGATTCATGATATTAAGTGAAGAATCTGCGTATATCAGGCTTAAATTTATAGTTATTTCTTGTGGTATCCAGAAGAAAGGGAAGAAATTTATTAACTATATACAGTATTGAATTGTGAATATCAAATTTATAGTAATATATTTATAATAATTTTTGGATGATTTTTCGATCTCCTGGTTTATTTAATGGAGATAAAATTTCATCATTCATTGGGGAAACAGAATGGAACAGTAAACTCACGGACAAGTACAACATTGGGCCGATTTAATTACTAGTCCAAAATAATGACCCAAAACTCTTGAAACTTTGTATAGCTCAAATGGGCCTAAACATTATTCCCAAGTGTGACTGCTAGTAACCCAAAACAGTGGGTTCTATTGAGCAAAACCACTTTCTCATCTTCATTATTCCACTTTTAAGTTTAAGAAGAATATTTTTTTTTTTTTTTTAGAGTTTAACGATTTTTTCCCACCAAAGTATAGCCTAATGACACTTCTCTACCCAAAAGTTTCAAAATACAATTTTACTATCCGAAGTTTATATTCCGTTAATATTTCGTTATTATCCAAAATACATTTTCTTTAGAGTTTGCAATTTTTTTGTTGCCAACTCTGTTAAGGCTATCGAGGCTTTTGAAAATAGGAGACTGATGAGTCTTTTGATGATGGTAAGTTTGATTTTGGTGAACAAGATTGGTCGAAATCTGACTTAAAAAGGATGGTTGTGCATTCCAAAAGTCGCTCAATTAGCAGAGTCGACGAGCACAAAGTTTAAGGGGTTAAAGAAAAAAAAAAGGGGGTAAAGATCACTTCCCTTATTCTATTTGTCCATTTTATCATACTTCTCCCCCAAAATAAATCTTTTTTAGATTTGAAGAGAAATTAAAATTAAACATATAAAACCATCTTTGAAAAAATAATTAACTCATTATTGAAATTAAGTCTTCTTGTCAAAAAGGGCAGCTGTAGCCTCTTAAGATTGTTTATTGAAAACATGAGTTTGGAAGTTGGGATGTACGGGGAATGACGATTAAAAGTGAAAAGATATACCACCACTAGCTAAAAAAAGCAAATAGGGATCTCATACAGCCTTTGAGTTCGAATCATTTGATAGTATAAGATTAAGAAAAGAATTTAACATGCTCTCCCAAGTTCGAGTCCTCTTGATGATAAAAGAGCAAAAGAAAGATCTAACATGGTCTTTCGAGTTCGAGTTTGTACGGCTATTAATAAGGGTGATCACTAAAGCATTTACCCAGTTGGTAGTTTCAGGTCCCGATAAATTATTTGAGGTGTATGCAAACTGGCCTAGACACTTTAATCATAAAAAATAAAAATAAAAAAAAATTAAAAGATATAATTTAAATTAAAAGAAAAAATTGAAAAACAAACACACTTACAATTCTAATTGTTGGTAACATAATAATTCCTTGTAAAATTCTTTCTCCATCAAAGAAACTATATTTTTAAGTTCTTTAAAGGCTTGAATGAGATTAAAAAAAAAAAAAAAAAAAAAAGGTTTATAGATACAAAGAAATTAGAAAATAAATTTGTAATTATATAAAATATTAAAAAAATGAAGCATCTTTTGACTTGATAGGATAGTTGGTCACATTTGATTGATAGAATTGGGGGATTATGTTTATTTGAACAGTATCTATTGTACATTAAACCACCTTGAATAAAAAAGTAAATTAAATAAATTAGAGTTTATAATCTAAAGTATTAGTTTGTTAATCACAAATTTATCCAAAGCGTAAATGCAAGCATATAACTTGTAGCTCAAAAGTCAGAATCTCTGATCCACGCATAGGAAAAGGGCGAATCCTAGAAAGTGGTAAAAGACCGGTACCTAGAGTCAGCCCGTGCCCTATGTTGATAAGTCAAGGGTGTTTTATGATGATCTTCATCCTCTTAACCTTTAAAACACCCAAATTCCTGAAAACGTGAAAGCTGTTATATGAAAATGAAAGACTCTAAATTGCTTGTAAAAGTATGTCCATTGACTCGCCAACCTTAAGATTAATCAAAGACGTCTTCCTTGAGAACGAGGGGCGGTTCCAGCCCCTTTAGGCCCACTCTTTTATATATATATAAACCACGAAAAATTACTATTAATATATATTTTAGACCCATCTTTTAATTAAAATAAAATGAAAACTATTATACATATATCTAGGTCCACAAAAAAAACTTGTTAGTAATATATTCTATACAAACTCACAACATATTAAAAATTTAAAACTTTCATCACTTTTTTTTTTCCACGTTTTCACCAGTTTTTTATGATTTTATTCTTAAAATTATTTATTCTCTCATTTTCTTTCTCATGTAATTCGCTCTTAAAGCTTTTGAAGACTGAAATAATTGAAGCTTTCACTATTCAAGGTGTCACAATTAGCTTCGTATTCTGTTATATCAGTTTTAGGTATGTATATCACTCATTTCAATTTAGTTTATTTTAGAGTTGAATCATAATTCTTTTTTTTGGGGGAAAAGATTTTTTATTTTAATTTGAGAGAAAAAGACATGGATCTTATGAATTTATTTTGTGTTTTGTGTCTAAGAATGAACATATTTTCCTAAATTATAACCTTAGCTATATATTAAAAAACATTATTCTTCACCCTGACCCACCACTTTTCTATATTTCAAACATCACTATTCAGCTGCTCAAAATTATTAAAGAAATTTGAGTTATTATCTATATTTATATCAAGAAAATTTCACATTTTTTTATTAATTTACATTAAAAGTTAACGTAACGTTTATTTGATTTAAGTTTTGTTTGATTTTAACTTAAGCTATGTCCTATTAAAATCATAAAAAATTATATTATAATCTTTAAAAGTAATAATTAAAATTAAAATTAAATAAAGTTTTACTTAAAGTTTACCCAACACATTTATTAAAAATTTTATTCTTGGTAGATTTATTTAAATAGTAAAATATAGTGGTATTACCATCTTTTCTCATCGATTCTTGATATTGTTTTTCTTTTTCGCTTAGGTTTAGTATTTTTCAAAGTTTTCAGTAGTTGGTTGTTGACGGAGCCGCGAAAGCCGACAAACATTCTGGACCCGCAACCGTTGGGAAGTGAGCACCACTTGTATTTTCCAGCGGTGGTCCTTTACTTTCAATTTTTATTATATAATATTAATACCCCCATACGTACACTAATCATCTTTAGTCTTTCAATTAAATGTTAATTAATTTCCTAAACCAGCGTCCAGCAACAGCAAACAGTCGCAAAACCACGCTTATGCCTCAAACAATACCAACAACAGTACCCACTCCATATTTTTGCCTATTATTTTTATCAAAACTGTCTCCTTTGGTTGTCTTCGTTACCTATGGGCATTGAAATTTCTTTTCTTATTTGTTTTTGCACCACCTTTTCACTTCCAAAACCAGCCCACAGTTCATAATACCAATACTTCTACCCTTATATAATAACCCATTACTGATCCACTCTCAATTTATCATCGAATTCTTCTGAATCAAACGATCTTCATTCCTACTTTGTATTGCAATTTTCCATGGAAACTGCAAACAACATCGGTTCAGTCGCTCAACCCAGCTCGGCTCCGCCTCAGGTCCCGCCTGCTGCCTACAGCGGCACTCTTGGACGCCACCTTGCTCGGCGGCTAGTTGAGATTGGTGTGAGAGATGTCTTCTCAGTTCCTGGTGACTTCAACTTGACACTCTTGGATCATCTTATAGCCGAGCCAGAGTTGAATTTGGTTGGGTGCTGTAACGAGCTCAACGCCGGGTATGCTGCTGATGGGTACGCACGTGCCAAGGGTGTGGGCGCATGCGTGGTGACGTTCACGGTGGGTGGACTTAGTGTGCTGAATGCTATAGCCGGTGCTTACAGTGAGAATTTGCCAGTGATATGTATAGTTGGTGGGCCTAACTCTAACGATTATGGAACAAACAGGATCTTGCATCATACAATTGGGTTGCCGGATTTTTCCCAAGAGCTTAGGTGTTTTCAAACCGTCACATGTACTCAGGTAATTTTCACTTTAACATGGATTATGGTTATGGATCACTAATTCAATTATGTATAGTGTTAGATGATTGTGGAATTAATGTGATTATGTATGTTGTTTCAGGCTGTGGTTAATAACTTAGATGATGCACATGAGCTTATTGACACGGCAATTTCAACTGCTTTGAAGGAAAGCAAACCGGCTTATATCAGTATAGGCTGTAATTTGCCTGGAATTCCACATCCCACTTTTGCTAGGGATCCTGTGCCATTCTATCTGGCTCCCAAGTATGGATTCTCTCTCATTATTAGTTTTATGTTTCTAAGTTTATTTGGATTTGATCCTTATGTCATGCTCTATATGTTTGTGGTCAAATATATGTTCTTTCCAATTAGTTTCGATGGAATTTTGAAGTTGTTGACACATAAGATACTTACCCCAGTGTAAATGCAGATGGTGGATTTTTGTGTGGTAGCATAAGGAGGGCTTAATGATAATTTAACAAATTAGAATTTTGATCTCTAAATTAAATTGTGTTGGTTTTTCAACCTTGTTAGTTAGGATAAGTAAGTTCTGATGCTGAATAAGTAATATGTTCTATCATATATTTAATCAGTTTCTAAGAAAATGTCTTTTATGTTTTGTGATGTTTAGTTTGAATGGAACTGCGTCTCTGTAATCAGATGAATGAACATTGCTGTAATATTGAGAAACAGAGATTTCAACAAGTGACCATACTTTACTTATGATGCAGGGTAAGCAATCAGTTAGGGCTAGAAGCAGCTGTGGAAGCAACTGCTGATTTCTTGAATAAAGCTGTGAAGCCAGTTATTGTGGCTGGGCCCAAGCTAAGGGTGGCGAAGGCGCAAGAGGCCTTTATAGAGCTTGCAGATGCTAGTGGATATCCAGTAGCTGTTATGCCATCTGGTAAAGGGATGGTTCCAGAGCATCACCCACAGTTCATTGGGACATATTGGGGTGCGGTCAGTACCAGCTTCTGTGGGGAGATAGTGGAGTCTGCTGATGCCTATGTTTTTGTTGGTCCCATCTTCAATGATTACAGCTCTGTTGGTTACTCATTGCTTATCAAGAAGGAGAAAACAATCATAGTGCAGCCTAATCGTGTGACTATAGGCAATGGTCCTTCTCTTGGCTGGGTTTTCATGGCTGACTTCTTAAGTGCATTGGCCAAGAAACTAAAGAAAAACAGCACTGCCCTTGAGAATTACCGTCGAATCTTCGTCCCTTCAGGCGTCCCACTGAAGCGCGTGCAAGATGAGCCTCTTAGAGTCAATGTTCTCTTCAAACACATTCAGGTAATGCGTATATCATGATATGAAAGTTTATGTATGTCAGAATTTGTGTGGGGGGTATTAAACCTTTTAGAAGGCAATAGAGGTCTGTGAAGGGATGAATATACATAAGATTAATAAATTTGTCAAAGGTCTTCTTGCCCAATACTGATATGGTTGGGCTTGCATTTATGACCTCTTGATACTAATTGTACAGGCAAAGAAGATTTGCCTTCTAATTGGCCTTGAACTTTTCCCTTTTCCCTTTTCACTTTTGTGTTTGGTGGAGAAAATGATTCTAATGTGAGTTAAGGTCCTAGGTCTGGCTAGGTTGTCACCATCATATCCCATGCCCATCTAGGTTTGTGGCCAGTCTATCCTTTGCCCTTTTGTTGAACCATCCTTGTGAAGGAAGGTTACTTCCTCTGTGATATCTTGGGGTTTCTCTTGTCTAAGTTTAGTTTAGTGTAATCATTTATTGCCATTTAAGAAATTACAACAAAAGATCATAAGTTTAACTTGTTAATCAGGCAATGCTAAGTGGAGATACAGCAGTAATTGCTGAAACTGGAGACTCGTGGTTTAACTGTCAGAAACTCCACCTCCCTGAGAATTGTGGGTAAGTGAGGATTTTATTTAGGAGTGCATTTGAATAACTATTTGTTTATTGGTTGGCGGACTGCTAATTTTTCATTATTTATTGTATTCAGATATGAATTTCAGATGCAGTATGGATCTATTGGCTGGTCAGTAGGCGCTACTCTAGGATATGCTCAGGCTGCTAAAGACAAGCGTGTGATTGCTTGCATTGGTGATGGGAGTTTCCAGGTGGGTGACAAAATTTGTTAGAAACTTTATAACAGGAAGCACCTCGGCACTTTTGAGTGGCACTAACACAAAAACTTTTAATAGGAATGCATTGTGATGCAAGGGACAGTTTTTGCCAATAAAGAACAGCCCTTATTAATTAAAGAGACCAATTTCACCTCATAAACTTTCATAAGATCTGAAACAATTATATCTCCTCTTATTATATACAGTTGCTCTGTATTTAGCTGACAAACAATAAAGAAGGGGAAAGTGTTACAATGGTTACATGGTTCTAAAAGCATATGCTAATACACTGCCACTGCAACAGAAATAGACATGATTTGGACACTGGTCCAATTATAAAATTTGAATGGTTCATTGAAATTGATGCATTTAACATTTTGATTTTGACTTATAAATTGCTGATTTTATTTTCTTTTTAAGGTTTCAATTATGCTGAGTAACTAATGTTGCATTGCTTCAATTCAGGTAACAGCTCAGGATATTTCAACAATGATCCGATGTGGACAAAAGAGCATTATATTCCTCATAAACAATGGGGGTTATACAATTGAAGTAGAAATTCATGATGGCCCTTACAATGTGATTAAGAACTGGGATTATACAGGCCTGATCAATGCCATTCATAATGGAGAAGGCAAATGCTGGACTGTCAAGGTTAGCAAAATTAAAATTAATTTCTTCTATTTTATTCAATCATGATTTATCTGGACTAGAAATTGATCAATGTACGAGAATTTGTTTTCTTAAAACTACTCACCTCATGGACCTACTACTTCATCTTCTTCATTGCAATAGAATAGTTTTGAATTCTTGGCAAGTTCCAAAGATTCATCCTCTGTTTGAAGATATATAATGTTTTCTTATCTAATGAATAGCAAGATGCAATCTACACCTAAAAATCTATAGCAATGCTTGCTTTTAGAGTAGAGTAATTTATTCAGTTGTAAAATACAGGTACATACTGAGGATGAACTAATGGAAGCAATTGATAAAGCAACAGGAGAACATAAAGATTCATTATGTTTTATTGAAGTTTTTGCGCATAAGGATGACACCAGCAAAGAGCTACTGGAGTGGGGATCCCGAGTTTCAGCTGCCAACAGCCGCCCTCCAAATCCACAGTAGCACTTCGAGGTTTTAAGGATTCAGAATTATGCTGGTCCTTACTGTAGTAGTACAATGAGCTTCAATCCTGTACTTATCACACAGCTAAAAATAAGTGAGAAGAGAGCTGCTTGTTTTAGATGTTTTTCCTACCAATCTGGTTTCAGCATTCGGCTTAACTCTAGTGATGATGTAACTATTGTATGTCAATGTTTATGTGGCTGAGGCTGAGATGATTTTAAGTTTTGTATTCTGATGAAACATGAATGTTTGTTGTCTATAATTGAAAATGTAATCAAAAAATAAGGTTATGGAATTAAGGTGACTCCATCTTGCTGCAAACTTTAAGTTCTGAACCTTCTTATTTGCTGAAGTTCTTAGGAGACGTTACAAATCAGTAATATACATATGAATACTGCTTGCATGGTTTCCATGGAGCTTTACCCATCTAGAGGTCACACAACATTATTTATCAGTAGATACTTGCAAGCTTTCCGCAGCAAAGAGCACCTCGGATCCCAGTAGGCAGTAGCAGCCCTCCATATTTCGATAATGCTTTAGAATTTTATTTTAGAACGACTGCTAGAAAACAAAAGAAAGGACAGAATGGTTCCTCAATAGCTGCACGAAATTTGTCAATCATTTTGTGGAATTGATTGTTATTGATTGACAATACACACTCAACTGTCAAAGTACCAATAAAACTTGCTGTCAGACATTTTGAAGCATTTGGTGATACATTTTATGTTTGAGGTGGATACAACTGCAATTCAGAACAAGGGATTGGAAAATATTATACATGTGCTTGAATCTAGGTTGTCTGTTGTCTGATTTAGCATAGGTTGTTTGTTGCAGTTGGAATTATAGAACAAACACAGAAATGAGGATGAATATAAATTAGTGATTGTTCTTTTCTTTTTTTTTTTTTTTACAGGGTAATTTGATGAAATTTCTGCCGAATTTTGACCATTTTGTGAATACAAGTAAATCATACATGTCTCTTGTCAGGGCCTCATTGGCAGTATGTGTTTGATAGAGGGACATGCCGCCCTCTCTCCCTTTGCTGCACGTTCGGTAACTCATGTTTCTCATATATGGTTTTTGAAAGTTGGTTACACCAACGTACAATATTTGACCTTTTTTTTTTCCTTTTTCGGGTTTGGTTTTGGATGTTTGAACTAGTTTTTACATAACTCAATTAATCTTTTAAGACTCTAAAGTTAACAGTTAAATAATTTCTAATGACTACTTCTTATTAATAGTCGTAAGGGTTTGAAGTCAAGAATTCTTGACAATCTTTTACTATACTTCTTAAATTTGTAATACATTAATAAAAATTAAAATCTCCCTAATATTGAATCATAGATTTTGATGAACATCTGACATCTTTTAAACAAAAACAAATAATTAAATTTATTTCAAGTCTTCCAAGTAACCCAACAGGGATCATGCCATATATTATTTTTTAGAATCATTTTTCTTTTTAACTTTTTATTTAAAAACCAAAAAAAATGGAAAAGTAGTACACTTTAAAGCTGAAAATGACAATACATTTACATTTTGCCTTTGCTCATTTCAGTAGCGGAGTCCTCGATAACCACTACTTTATTTTGATCCCATTTCCCTTCTTTCAACTCGGATCTTCACTCTCTACTTTGCTTTCCCAATCGAAATGAAGACAGCCATGTTGAGATCTGTCGGAGCAGCTTTGAGGAGAAGTGCTGCTTCATCAACTCCATCCACTCCCTCTCATCTCCTCCGCCGATCATGCTACTCCACTGGCGCACATCCCGAACGCAAGGTTACCATCTTGGGTGCAGCAGGAGGGATCGGTCAGCCACTATCTCTTCTTATGAAACTCAACCCTCTCGTCTCATCTCTCTCACTCTATGATATCGCCAACACTCCTGGTGTCGCCGCTGATGTCAGCCACATCAACTCCCGCGCCCAGGTATCTATCCAATTTAAAAGTTGTGGAATCCCTTTTCTTCACTTTGTTTTTCTAGTGTGAATTTATGGAATTTGATTTATTTTTCAAGGAGATTTAAAGTTCAAAGCTTTTAGGATTCAAGATCTGTGAATATCAAAGCTCTTTACTTTATTGAGTTTAATATTTTGATTTGATTTGCTTAATTTCGGGGTCGTTTTCTTTTAGGTTGCTGGTTTCGCTGGTGAAGAACACCTAGGTAAAGCTTTAGAAGGGTCGGATGTTGTGGTTATTCCAGCTGGTGTTCCAAGAAAGCCGGGAATGACTCGTGATGATCTCTTCAATATCAATGCTGGCATTGTCAAATCCTTGTGCATTGCTATTTCTAAGTACTGCCCCAATGTGAGTCACTCACTTTGTTTTCGTTTTGGTTTTTTCGTCTTGTAGCGCCTATGTGTTGGTTATATTAATTATTTAAATTATTTTGTATTAAATCTTGGATGGGTTTAGGCGTTGGTTAATATGATTAGCAATCCGGTGAACTCCACTGTTCCAATTGCTGCGGAGGTTTTCAAGAAGGCTGGAACCTATGATGAGAAGAAGTTGTTTGGTGTAACTACACTTGATGTGGTTAGAGCTAAAACTTTTTATGCTGGCAAGGCTAACGTACCAGTTGCTGGTATGCTTATTTTCTTTATTTTAGAGGTTCTTTTGATTTTCATCTGTTTGTTTCTTTGTGGTTGTTGAGAACTTCCTAGAATAGGGGAGATTTGTGTGTTGAGGTGAAATTTTTAAAAAATATTTTAACCTTGTTTTTGCTTATAACCCAAGAGTTTTTCTTTTCTTCTAAAATTATAATGGACTAATGTGCAAGGCTTTTTTTTCTTTTTATATACTTTCGACTTTCTACCCAATTTATCAGCAGTTAAGTGCATATTTAAGGTGATGAGTTATGGTATGGAAATTCTTGTGGCTTGTGTTTGACTTGTATATTTTTCCCTTTCTCTACATGTTGCAGAGGTTAATGTGCCTGTGGTTGGAGGCCATGCAGGCATAACCATTCTCCCTCTCTTCTCTCAAGTATTTCTCATGCTCCCTTTCTTATTGTTCCTATTTGCATTAATTAAATATATTTGGGATTTTTTTGTTTGCTTGACTTAAGTTCTTTTGCCTTTTTGGAACAATAATAGGCCACCCCTAAAGCTAATTTGTCTGATGAAGTTATTACGGCTCTCACTAAGAGGACTCAGGACGGAGGCACAGAAGTTGTTGAAGCAAAGGCTGGAAAGGGATCTGCGACACTATCAATGGCGTAAGTCTGGATATACCTCTGTTTTGTTTTGTATAACTAGGTGCTTTCCCTTTCTCATTTGATATAAGGATGTTTATTGGACATTACATTGATTACTATGAGTTGAGATGTGTTTTTCTTTCATAAAAATATAAATCACAATTAAGAGTAGTATACTGAAGGAGGTAAATCTCTAAATCTGTAAATGTACCAGCACTGTTTATTTAAAAACAAAAATGATTCCCTACCTCAAGTATCGATGGTAAGAACTGCTGCTTGAATTTATTAGTGAAGGAAAAGAGGTATTTTATGAGGTTTAACTGTCTGTGTTTATGTGAACAATGTACGCTCCATCAATCCTCATAGATGTGTTGGATTAAAATGTGAATTCCTTTTTTCTGTCACTTATAGGGCGCAAACACTTACTTATCTTTCCAAAGATTTTGAAGTTTTCTGTTTTGTGCCATTGAAAGTTGAGTGGTCATAAATTTTACAGCTATGCTGGAGCCATTTTTGCTGATGCTTGCTTGAAGGGGCTTAACGGAGTTCCAGACATTGTGGAATGCTCTTTTGTGCAATCGAGCGTCACTGAATTACCTTTCTTTGCTTCTAAGGTGATTGACTTTGTGGTGTTTAAATTTTAAAGCTTTCTGCATTATGTTATTTATTTGATTCCTTACAAGCCTGAGGTTGTTTATGTGATTCAGGTTTTGATCTGTCTAGCATTTTATGTTTATTAGTGGCCATTTGTTGTTTGTGGTAAAATTAATTGTTTATGTATGTACAGGTGCATACAGTTTCCTTTTGAGTGTATGTTTTAAACTTACCATGCCAACAATAGTGTGCATACCACATTTTCTGGCTCTGTGTTCTTTACCTGGATGCCATATCTTATTATTTTACTGTTACATTTATCTCCGTTCATGTAAATTGGAATAGGAAGTTTGAGAAGTAGCAAATATATTCTCATGAATTTCAGATTTTGCCGATCATGATATTAATGGCCATGCTTTTTCCTTTTTAATTACCATATGATTAGTTTAATTCTGAGGATTATTAAATGGATCGATTTTGAACTGACGGAGACTGGTAATGAGTTTGGCAATATATCTGTCTGAAAACTTATTAATCTGATCTGTACTTATTAGCATGGGTTGGCATATAATTGTGAATGCAAGGCTATGTTATGAAATTTGAACTCAAGAATATGATAAATCCAATGCTGGCGGGTAGATACCTTTCTTAAGATTGGAAATTAACACTCATAATATTTTAAATTTTGTGACATCTATATTGGCAGTTGAAAAGCATGGGAATGTGACAAAGGGAGTTAATGATTTAAAAAAAAATATATCAAGTCGAGTAATAATCATGAACAAATATTGTGTAACTTCCAATATTAAAGTGCAGCCTCCAATCTTTATATAAAATCTTGCATCCTTGGTTTTTTGTTGTGTTACTAGTAACTAAATTGACAGCTTGCCTGTCTTGAGAGCAAATGAATCACAATATACTTACTTTGTTGCTTATTAATACTGCAGGTAAGGCTGGGAAAGAATGGTGTGGAGGAAGTCCTTGGGTTGGGTCCTCTTTCCGACTATGAAAAGGAAGGTCTTGAGAGTCTCAAACCAGAGCTTAAATCATCTATAGAGAAGGGAATTAAGTTTGCCAACCAAAGTTAGATGGGTAAGTTACAAGATTTTTAGGGCCGATAGTCCTTTCTAAGACAGTTATCAAATTTTTGGTATTCTTAAAGAGAATCATGTACTCAAAATAATTTCCTTGTTGCTGGAGTTGCAGAATCTACCTGCATAAAGCGAACTAAGCTTTGAAGTTTGAACTCAGAGATCCCATTCCATTAATAAAATTTTGAGGCCTGTTTGTATTCTGCTTACACTTCTAAATTGTTAGTTCTACGGTTTGGTATTCTTGGACAGGCCATATTTCCTCAGAAAGCTAATGTTGTACTACAGTTACTTATCGAGTTTCTTGGTCAATATTATTAGGCTTTCTGGAGTAGGGTGTTTTTTTTCTTGTAATCAAGT